GCGGGGAGGGCCTGGCAGGTCCCACGGGAAGCGGCCCGGGCATCCTCTGCCCGGAGCGGGTCACGGCCACGGGAGCTCCCCCGGCTCCTCCAGGTGGCGCCCACGACCTGGAAAAGGCACCCCCCCCCCCACACCCGGGGCTGCGGCGGGAGCAGGTGCAGGTCCCCCTGGGACAAAGGACACGATCCAGGCTCTTGTGCTTCTCCCTGATGGAAAACCCACCCCCAGCAACATGCGAGGCGTGGGGAGAAGAAGCGGGCGCAGAGACTAGGGAGCTGACTCCAGGCCCTGCTGGGCCCCGCCGGGGTCACCTTGAGTTAGTCCTTCCCCTGGCTGGGCCTCAGTTTCCCCATAGGGAAAATGAGATTTGGATCTCCACAACGTGCATTGAGACTTCGTGTCCCAAGACTCAAGGACTGGGGCCGTGCCGCTTACAGATGCGCAGATACACTAGAAGACCTTCTCTTCTGGTCCCATAAACGGCCCCAGAGAAGCACACTCTGTTCAGCTGCCCCCCCCCCCCGGGGCAAGGGGCTCCTCATTATCTCCGGAATTCAGGGCATTCAGGGCAACCACACACCCCCCTCTGTGACCCCTTCCCTCCAGCCCTGCTGGGTGGCAAGAAAGTCCAACAAAAAAGGCCAAACCGGAACGTGGCATCTCCCCCAGGGCCCCCCTGAATTGCATCTCCTTTGCTCACTTCCCCCTCTCCACGCATTTCCCCCTTTTTCAGAGGGAATGGGGAGGGAAGGTGAGATGATGTCTGTTAAAGAGGAAGGAGGGGAAATGGGCCCCCTGGGTTTGTAAGTCATGAAGCTGAGGATAGGAGTTCACTGTGGGTTTAGAAATGCAACCCAACAAGGAGTTTGGGGGCGGTCAGATTTTTTTCAGGTCTATCTAGCTAAAAAAAAAATAAAAAGAAAAAGGCAAAGGCTGGAGATCCGAAGTCTGAGGGGCAAGCGTGGCCCTCTAGGAGACAGTGGTGCAGAGCAGGGGCTGGGTCACATGTGGAGACAGAGAAAGCGACTACAAGGAACCGGAGTGAGAGGGACTGGGATACAAACCTCCAACCTGGGTTTTTTTTTAATTTTTTTTAAGATATTTATTTATTTGTTTGTTTGTTTATTTATTTATTTATTTATGAGAGACACAGAGAGAGAGAGAGTCAGAGACACAGGCAGAGGGAGAAGCAGGCTCCATGCAGGGAGCCCAACATGGGACTCGATCCCGGGTCTCCAGGATCAGGCCCTGGGCTCAAGGTGGCGCTAAACCACTGAGCCACCAGGGCTGCCCTCCAACCTGGTTTAAAACTGAACTCTGGGTGGGACACCTGGGTGGCTCGGTTTGACACCTGCCTTCAGCCCAGGGACTGATCCTGGGGTCTCGAAATCGAGTTCCACATTGGGCCCCTGCATGGAGCCTGCTTCTCCCTCTGCCTGTGTCTCTGCGTCTCTCTCTGCGTCTCTCTCATGAGTAAATAAATAAATAAAACTGAACTCTTGGGATCCCTGGGTGGCGCAGCGGTTTGGCGCCTGCCTTTGGCCCAGGGCGCGATCCTGGAGACCCAGGATCGAATCCCACGTCGGGCTCCCGGTGCATGGAGCCTGCTTCTCCCTCTGCCTGTGTCTCTGCCTCTCTCTCTCTCTCTGTGACTATCATAAATAAATAAAAATAAAAAAAAAAACTGAACTCTTGATTTCCCCGTTCCCTGCCACGCTGCGCATTCCCTATCTCTGATGCACCACCATCCACGGGGAAAACCAAAAGTCATCCTAGTCTTTCCTTCTCCTGACCCGTCACCAGTGAATCACCAGACGAATCCTATTCGACTTCTTAATGACCCCATGCATCCTCATCCTTGCTCTCGATGCCCGCAACCGCTGCCCTAACCAAGACTGGCTACAGCGTGTGGGCCCAGTGCAAATGAACAAGCAGGGCCACCTGTTGAAACTGGACCTTCAGGGGGGATCCCTGGGTGGCGCAGCGGTTTAGCGCCTGCCTTTGGCCCAGGGCGTGATCCTGGAGACCCGGGATCGAGTCCCACGTCGGGCTCCCGGTGCATGGAGCCTGCTTCTCCCTCCTCCTGTGTCTCTGCGTCTCTCTCTCTCTCTCTCTCTCTCTCTCTCTCATAAATAAATAAATAAATAAATCTTAAAAAAAAAAAAAAGAAAAGAAACTGGATCTTCAAACAGTGCGAGTGTCAAACCAAGCCCGGCCCCGTGTAGTGCGGGGCCCTACGCGATTCCACACGCAGCATGTCCAGGAAGCCAGTCCTGGCCTCAGCTCAAGCCCTGCCTCACTCTTGTCCGAACTGGAGGCACTTTACTGGCCTCTCTCACGTCTGGCCTGCGGGCTTTCACGCCTTACTCACAGCTACTGGAGTGCAAGTCTTCCCTGGCCTTCGGGATAAAACCCCAGCTCCTCAGCACGATGCGCAGGACTTCGGTTCCCCACCCTGCTCACTTCTCCAGGATCTTCTCTGTTGCTCCCTTTTTTTTTTTTTTAGGATTTTATTTATTTATTCATGCGAGACACAGAGAGGGACGCCCGGGTGGCTCAGCAGTTGAGTGGCTGCCCTTGGCCCAGAGCATGACCCTAAAGTCCCAGGATCGAGTCCCACGTCCGGCTCCCTGCATGGAGCCTGCTTCTCCCTCTGCCTGCGTCTCTGCTTCTCTTTCTCTCTGTCTCATTCCCTCTTTTTTTTAAAATTTTATTTATTTATTCATGAGAGACAGAGAGAGGCAGAGACTCCGGGGTCACTCCCGCTGAGCCACCACGTGTCCCCCCACCTCCCATTCCTTGTTTTTTTTTTTTTTCGTTTTGTTTTGTTCTGTTTTTTCCTCCCATTCCTTGTTAATCTCCACCTAGACCTCTGTGACTCTATGAATCCTGTTCCCTTTGCCTAGGATGTGCTTCTTCTTCCACCCCCTTCCCCAAAAACCTCCTGTTCATCATTCAAAACCCAGCGCGGATATCTCTCTGTGAACCTTCCCCTGACCTCCTCCTCAGCCGTCTCACTCCTTTTCTCTACGCCCCGATACACTTTAGAGTGAGGGTCGGCAAACTTTTTCTTAAATAGTCAGATGGTAACTATCTCAGGTCTTGCTCACGGAGAGGCAAAACCGAGGGAGAGTACCATAGAGTAGGTGCTTCTATAACCATTTTAAGGGGGGGGGGGGGCATTCTTGGCTCGTGGCCCGTATAAAAACAGATGGATGGGGGTGGGCGTGCCTGGCTGGCTCAGTTGGGAGAGCCTGGATCTCTTGATCTCAGGGGTCATGAGTTCAAACCCCATGTTGGGTGTAGACCTTACTGTAAAAAAACAAAACAAGACTGCTGATGGTCCATAAGCCAGAGTTTGCAGACCCCTCCTTTAGAAAATCAATTAAGGGGGATCCCTGGGTGGCTCAGCGGTTTGGCGCCTGCCTTTGGCCCAGGGCGCGATCCTGGAGACCCGGGATCGAATCCCACATCGAGCTCCCGGTGCATGGAGCCTGCTTCTCCCTCTGCCTGTGTCTCTGCCTCTCTCTCTCTATGCCTATCATAAATAAATAAATAAATAAATAAATAAATAAATAAATAAATAAATAAATAAATAAATACTTAAAAAAAAAGAAAGAAAATCAATTAAGCATTTAAATATTTACATATGTGTGTCCCCTGCTGGACCCGTGCAAGCCCACGTATCATACCCCCCTGTATCCCCAGGGTCTAGCTCAGAGTCCAGCACGTCACCTCTGTCAGTTGAATGAACAGGTGAATGAATGAACCACTGAACAGTGGCCCACACCCCCGTGTGGAGTGAAGCCAAAATCCTGGATGCTTCTTTTGCCACCTTTCTTCATCTGGCTCCTCTTATCAACTATGCGATCAACTATCAACTATGGGACCCCCTAATTTGGTTCCTCTTATCAACTATGCTATCAACTATCAACTATGGGACCCCCTAATTTGGCTCCTCTTATCAACTATGCTATCAACTATCAACTATGGGACCCCCTAATTTGAACCACCTTTGAATCCTGGAGAGAAGAAAGGCAGTGCTCCCTCCTAATAAACCCAAGGCTTCCAAAAAATATAAAATAAAAATAAATAAATAAATAAAAATAAATTTGAAAAAAAAAAAAAAAGGCTTCCTGGGTGTTCGGAGCTGCTCCTGCAGCTTGGTCTTGTCTTCGGCCCCTAGAGAAGCGGCCCGGACATTCTGACGGTCTGTCTCCACGTCGTCGGGACAATTCTTGGCAATGAACCTATACGTGTCCTGCTGTGCAACGACAGGAAGGAAACAACTTGGGTCTTTAGGAAGGGGTGAAACAGCTTTGGTGTAAGTAGTAGGGGGATTTTCAACAGAGAGGCCCCAATTGCACTAGCCAAGGGCAAGGGAAGTGAGGGAGGAATTGGCTGGCGTTGGGTAATCGGGGAGTTTCTTATCCATTCAGGCTCGTATGGGATCACGTCTTGAAGCCCGACGGCCCACCCGAAGAGACGGCTCTGCGAGCGAGCTGGACTCCTTCCACGGGCGTGAGAATTGAAGCCTGGGAGACTCAGGTGAGTCCTTCTGTCGTGGGTGTACCTTTACCTTGTCTCATCTCCCAGGTGGTAAAAATAGAAAAACAAAGCAAACCTGAGGCCTGTGTGTGTAGCAGACAGGGGCAGCGGGGGCGACAGTGGCATCCGGACAGAGAGAGGGGAAAGGGCAAAGATTAGACAGTAAGAGGCTGCTGGGGTTACGGAGGACATCTGCACGGACAGTGGAGGGGCCTGGAGCTTGGACCGGACGGACGCCGAGACGTGTTTGGATGAGAATTGGGGGAAATCTTTGAGAATGGGAAAGGACTCCGAGAGCCGCAGGCAAGGGTGAGGATGCAGAGGCCTGGCCGTGGCCGGGCAGGCTGGCGAGCTTCCAAGCCAGTTCGGTGTCCAGGGGCCAAGAGCTGAGTTCGAGACCAGGTTCTGACTCCTTCTCCCCCCCCCACCCACCCACCTCTTTAGCCTCCGTCATGTGGAACACCTCCGGTGCCAACTTCTCCTGCTACCATGAGTCCGTTCTGGGCTACCGTTACGCTGCAGTTGTGTGGGGGGTGGTGGTCGCTGTCACAGGCACCGCGGGCAACGCGCTCACCCTGCTGGCCCTGGCCGTCCAGCCCAAGCTCCGCACGCGCTTCAACCTGCTCATCGCCAACCTCACGGTGGCCGACCTGCTCTACTGCACCCTCCTCCAGCCCTTCTCCGTGGACACCTACCTCCACCTGCGCTGGCGCACTGGCGCCACCTTCTGCAGGGTCTTCGGGCTCCTCCTCTTTGCATCCAACTCTGTGTCCATCCTCACCCTCTGCCTCATCGCCCTGGCCCGCTACCTCCTTATTGCCCACCCTAAGCTCTTTCCCCGGGTCTTCAGTGCCAAGGGCATGCTGCTGGCCCTGGTGAGCACTTGGGTGGTGGCCGTAGGCAGCTTTGCCCCTCTCTGGCCCGTCTATGTCTTGGTGCCCGTGGTCTGCACCTGCAGCTTTGACCGCATCCGAGGCCGGCCCTACACCACCATCCTCATGGGCATCTACTTCGTGCTGGGTCTCAGCAGCGTTGGCGTCTTCTATTGCCTCATCCACCGCCAGGTGAAGCGAGCAGCCCAGGCGCTGGATCGGTACAAGCAGTCAAGCGTCCGCTCCAACCATGTGGCTGGGATAGAGGCGACCCCCGGCCGTTTCCAGGAGCTGGACAGCGGGCTGGCGTCAGAGAGGCCCAGCGAGGGCACTTCGTCCGAGCCAGTCAGCTCTGCCACGGCCCACACCCTGGAATGGGCCCCTTCAGAGCTGGGGGACCAGCACGGCGGGGAGGAAGCTCAGCAGAGGGCAGAGAAGGGCCGGCCAGGAGCACCCGCCCCGACCAGGGCAGCCCAAAGAGCCCCGAGAACTCAGGACTCCCCATCGGAGTTTGGGAAAGTGACTCGGATGTGTTTTGCTGTGTTCCTCTGCTTCTCCCTGAGCTACATCCCCTTCTTGCTGCTCAACATCCTGGATGCCAAGGCCGAGGCTCCTCGGGTTGCCCACATGCTCGCTGCCAACCTCACCTGGCTCAACGGTTGCATCAACCCCCTGCTCTACGCGGCCATGAACCGGCACTTCCGCCAAGCCTACGCCTCCCTCCTGAGACGAGGGCCCCAGAGTTTCCGTAGGTTCCACTAGAACCGTCCCCAGTTGTCACCAGAACCCGAGGCCGACTCCTCCAGAGCCGCGTGGCCGGGTGGCCGGGTGCAGGGGAGGAGGTGCAGGAAGACGGGGCCTTTTCACAGGCGACTGTCCTCCTAGCCCCAACCGGCCCGTCCCCTGATCAACGCTTGGGCCCTAGGCTGCCCGAGGTGGGTCACCAATAAACGCGTTTGATCCTTTTGACGCTCAGGTGTGGTTCTGGGGACGGATAGGCCAGGATTGGTTGCAGCTGGCCCTAAGAGTTGAGAGTTTTGGGGGGGGCTGGGTCACTGCGGGGTCAGGAGGCAGTGGGCCTAGGATGCGGCCTTCAGCTGAGGGGTTTCGGGTATAAAACACGAGTTGGCTTAAGAGGATCCCCCTCTTTTTGTGTGACTTCCCAGAAATGGCCCCTGCCCCTAAGTGGTGCCGCCAGGACCCCCCCCCCACCCCTGCAAACAGGTTCCTCAGCTCCCCAGAGCTCTGGGATCCAGCTCTGACAGCCCTCCGGGGAGCCCTGCACCCAGTCCCGGCTCCAGGCAGGGAGCCTCCGGGACAGGACCCTGCGCCCCGGGAGCAGTGGCACACGGGGAGGGTCGGGCTGCCCTCGCGTCGCTCGGGTCACAGCTGACCACTGGAGGCCCGGCCCTCGCTCCCCCGACTTGCTCGGCACCCTGCGTGGGGAGAGCGGAGCAGAGACTGGGTGATTGCGGGGGGCCAGGGCCCAGCTGGGGTTACACCCCAGGGCTCCCCCTCCAGCTCTGGCGGCCTTCACCGCAGCCACGCACTCTGCGAACCTAAGGTACCTGTGGCCACCAGGTGACGCTGGTTCTCTGTGTTTGCTCCTCGGTGTCCCTGCTGCGGCCGGGACGGGGGCGGGGAGGCCACAGGCCGGCGGGGTGGGGACTGGGCTCCCGCGGCCTCTCCCCCAGAGCTCAGGAGGGGAGGTTTGGCGGAGTGGACGTGACCATTCCCGGGGTACTTGCCCCCGTCGGGCTGGGGTGAGGGGCGCAGGGCGCGCGAGGGGCACCCACGTGGGGCTGTGCAGGCAGCCAGGCCGCTGGGCCGCCCGCCGCCCCCTCCGGCTCCTAGGCCAGAGCCCCAGGGAATAGGCGAAGACTAGGGACAGGAGAGGGACGGCCAGGTCGGGGGGACATCGATGTCCCCACACTCGACGCGCCTCGAGGCCCTGGAGTCCCGCGGCCTAATCACGACACGTGTTTCTGGGGGCTCGTGCTCCACAGAAACCACAGCCAGGGAAACTGAGGCAAGCTCAGGCCACTGAGGCAGGGGCGCAGCCAGGTGGGGTGAGCAGCGGGGACGAAGGGTCCAGTCGGGGCGCCCTGGTAATTAGCTTTGGGGCCTGATTTTTTTTTTTTTTTGATTTTTGTTTTCAATTAAAGATTTGTATTTATTTGAGAGAAAGAGGGGGGGAGGGAGAAGCAGCCCCCCCCAAGCCGGGCTCGATCTCAGGACCTGAGCGGAAGGCAGGCAGGTGCTTGACCCACCGAGCCCCGCAGGTGCCCCTGGGCCACGGGTTCTATCCCGGGCACCGGGTTGGCGGCGCTGCCGTCTCACCCGGCCCGGCGCGGCCCAAGCCTGTGAACACACGGTCTCAGGGAGTTCGCCGCGGAGGCTTCCTTATGGCCTCGTTCTTAGAGATGAAAAAAATGGAAGCACGAAGAGGTTGCGCGCTTCGTGCAAAGCGCGGGACGTCCTAAGAGGTGGCGGGACTGGAGGGCGGGGTCGCCGTCACCACGTGCCCGGCAGGACAGGGCAGCTGCGGTCCTACGACTAGAATCAAGGCACAGACGATGCCTGCAAGTCCCTCCCGCGCGCCCCGCTCAGGTTCTGAGAGCCGACAGTGGTCCCAAGGGCTGTGAGAGGGCTCCCGTTCCACATCCCTTGAAGGCAGTTCAGAAGCTTTGGGGCAGGCAGAAAGCAGCAGCAGTAGACACTGGAGTTAGACCTAAGGAGGGACTTCCCAGTTCTCGGCCGCTGGAGAAAACGACTCGCGGGCCACGAGGAGGAAACGAGTCCGCGCCCAGAGAGGCCGGATCCCGGCAAGGCCGCAGCCCCCGCCTCTCTCACCCTCCGCGCCCCCCACCCCCACCCCCACCCCCGCCTCTAATTTCGCTAAAATCCTAGGAAAATGGGGCGGAAGGACGGCCAGGCGGCGGCTCGGGCTTGGCGGCGGCCGCGGGGTCCACGCGCGAGCCCGGGCGCCCCCGCGGCTTCCCTTTGTCCCGCGTCCGTCCGTCCGTCCGTCCGCAGCCGCCTCCGCCTCCGCCTCCGCCTCCGCCCCCGCTCCCCCTCCTCCCCCCTCCCCGCCCCCCCGCTCGCCCCCGCCGTCGCTCCGGGCAGATTTATGGCCCGCCCAGGGCTTCTCATTGGCCGCCCGCTGACAGCGCTTGATTTAACGCCTCCCCCCATTGGCGGAGCCTGACAGCCCGATTTACGAGCCGCCCTGCCATTGGCCGCCCGGCCCGCGCCCTGATTTACGGCTCCGCGGCCGCCGAGGGAGGGAGGGAGGGGAGGGGGCGGCGGGCCCGAGGAGGCCCCTCCCCTCCTTCCCTCCCCTCCCCCTGCCCTCCCCCCTCCCCTTCCTCCGCGGCCGCCTCCCTCCGCCTCCCTCCGGCTCGCGAGCGGCCCTCGGGTGCCTGTTCCTGCGGCGCCTCCGCCCTGTCACCCCGGGGAGGGCAGGGGAGGGGAGGGGAGGGGAGGGGAGGGGAGGGGAGGGGAGGGGAGGGGAGGGGAGGGGAGGGGAGGGGAGGGAGCGCGAGGGCGGCCGAGCGGGCCGAGGAGCCCAGGGAGGCCGAGGGGACCACGGGTGACGGGCGAAGGGAGGCCGCGGGACGGGGCGCTGGCCTAGGGGTGCGGGGGCCTGGGGCAGGGGGGAGGCGGGGGGAGATCCCGCCCCAACGGCGGCCCGAGGACGGAGAGGCCTAGAGCAGCGGGGCGCGGCGGCGAGGGGACTGCGGCAGGGACGGAGCCCCGCGGGCCGGCGACGGGACGGGCCCAGCGGCTGCCCCCCGCCCCGCCCCCCCCGCCCCTCCCCGCCCCCCACTGTCTGCGTCCAGGCCCGGCCGTCGGGAGTTAGCGGTACTGACGCTTCCGTGCGGGGCGCCCTCCTCCGCGAGCCCACGCCCGGGGCCGCCCACACCCCGTCGGCCGAGCCCGGCAGGGGCGCCGCGGGCCGGGAGTGGGCGGGTCGGGAAGGGCTCCACCTGCAGCCCCGCGGGCAGCTCCCCCGCCGCCGGGAGGGCCGAGCAGGGCTGGGGGGAGCGTCGCAGGGGCGCCTCGGCGGGCGGACGCGTCGGGGAGCGGCCCCCTCCCCGGGCCAGCTGCGCTGCGGAGCGGTAGGCCAGAGGGGCCGGGATTCAGACGCGGTGTCTGTGCCCTCGAGGGGCAGGAAGACGTGAGGCCCCCCCACGCCCCAGAGCACAGCCTGGGCCCCGGGAGAGGAGGCCAGGAGTGGGGGGCTCAGGGCGTTTCCCAGAGCTCCCGGCCCCCGCCTGTGCACCCCGGCCTGTGCACCCCCGGCCTATGCCTTCACCCCCCCCCCCGTGCACCCCCGGCCTGTGCACCCCAGCCTGTGCACTCCGACCTGTGCACCCCCTGGCCTATGCACCCCCCACCTGTGCACTCTGGCCTGTGCAGCCCTGGCCTGTGCACCCCCAGCCTGTGCACTCCCCAGGCTGTGCACCCCCTGTCTGGGCACCCGTGGCCTGTGGAGCCCCGGCCTGTGCACCCCCTGCCTGTGCACCCCCTGCCTGTGCACCCCTGGCCTGTGGAGCCCTGGCCTGTGGAGCCCTGGCCTGTGCACCCCCAGCCTGTGCACTCCAGCCTGTGCACTCCAGCCTGTGCACCCCCAGCCTGTGCACCCCCAGCCTAGGCCCCCCAGCCTGAGGAGCCCTGGCCTGTGGAGCCCTGGCCTGTGCACTCCAGCCTGTGCACTCTGGCCTGTGCACCCCCTGGCCTTTGCACCCTGACCTGTGCACCCCCCCCCGCATGGGCACCCCTGGCCTGTGCACTCCAGCTAGTGCACCCCTGGCCTGTGCAGCCCCAGCCTGTGCACTCCCCCGCCTGTGCACCCCCGCCTGTGCAGCCCCACCGCCGCCGCCGGGATTAAAAGCAGCCAGTAGTGCTGATGCTCCCTGCCCGGCCTCCACGACGGCAGAGGGACAGCGCCTGCTGCATCCCCACCCCCACAAGAACCGCGTGTTTGTGCCCACCCCTGCCGGGGGGACTCGCTCTGGGCTCCGGTGGGCAATGCACACACGCAGGGCACGGGGCGCAGGGCGCGGGGATGGGGGCGTCCAAGGGCACGCCGAGCTGCCGGGGAGCCGCCGCCCCACACCCCCCCACACACCGTGCCCTCCACCCACTGGGAAGGCCGCAGCGGCTCACGCACCAGACCTGCTGCCCGGGGGGCCTGGCGGCGGGGGGCGGGGGGGGGCTCCTAGGCTGGCCCTTTAAGAGCCACTTAGGGTCAGAAAGCCTGGGCTCCAGACGGGGAAGGAGCTGATGTCAGAAGACGGATGGGCGGCAAGATGGGGATTGATGCTAATGGGGGAGTTAAAGCTAAGTACCCAGACGCTCCGAGGGCAGGCCTGCCGATCCGTCTTCCTTACGCTCCCCCCAAACCCGGGCTGTAAATCTGCCTTCTCAACTGGGGGAAGGGGGACTGAGGAGGAGGAGATGCTCTTCCCTTTTCCTGTGCTCTCCTTAACCTGCGCCATCCCCCACCCCGTTCCTTTGTCCTCTCCCGATCCAGGACCGCTTTCCACTAAGATTTCTGAGTTTTGGCTTTCCATCAGGAATGGAGGTGGCGATTTCAGCTTGCGGGAGGAGGCCACCAGAAGGGAGGGCCGGGGGGGCTGTGGAGAGAGGCCAGGGCAGGCAGCTCCCGGCTGCCTCAGTTTCTCTCCCTTCCACCGTCTGCTCACGCGGAGGGGGCTCTAGCAGCTTCTCCCGGGACAGTGAAGGCAGCCGGGGACGCTTGGGGCGCCGGGAGCGGGCCGGGAGCTGCAGAGCTGGGCTCGTGGGGCCTGTCCACGGCAGGATACTCGGCCTGGCTTCCCGGAAAGCCCTAGCCCACGCTGTCCCTCCCCACCACGTCCCCTGCCTGCGAGCAGGCAAGGTCGGGCCCATAGTCTATGGGAAAGGCAGGGGGCAGCTGGGGTCTGAGCGAGGAAGGCCTCGGTCGGCGGCGGGAGCCAGTGGCCCTGGGGGACTCCGCGCCTGCGTCACCTTCAGCGGAGTCCTGGGCTCTCTGGCCCCGCAGGCCCGGCCTGTCCCCTGTCCTAGGAAGGACGCCTCCCTGCGTCTCCGGCTGCAGCGGCTGCAGCGCTGGACCTGGTCGCCTTCCAGTCCCGAGCCCCGCTGCCTGCGGGCTCCCCGCTCCCCAAATCCTCCTCAGGGTCCACACGGACTGACCTGAGGACACCGCCTCCTCTCTTCCCTTCCCCAGGCTCCCTTCAGGGCCCTGAAGTCACCTCGAGGCCGCCCTCCGTTTCCTAAGTGTCGGGCCGGAGAGCGAGCGAGGTCGAGGTTGCGGTGAGAAAAGTTGGGGGTTGTGAGGCCGAGCCATGGGGACCCAGGCTCCCAGCCGCCCGGTGTCCGGCCCAGCGCCCCCCGCCACCCCAGGGAGGTCAGCCTGGGCCCTCAGCCCCGCTCCGACCATAAATCCTGTCTTTGTCTCCCCCTCGGAGCCGGCCCCGGGCGGCTGGGGGTCAGCGGCGGGGAGGGGTCAGGCCTCAGCGGGGAGGGGAGCCCGAGGAGAGGGGGCAGCTGGTGGGCAGGGGGTGGGCGGGCTCCGCATCCTTCAGATCCCCGCTGCACATTCCTGCAGGGCGGCACTGTGGGGCGGGCGGACTCCTAAGACCAGGGTACCTTGGGAATGACCCCTGGGAGTCAGGAATCCTGGGGGGTGGGTAGGGGTGGGGGTGCCGGAGGAAGGGAGCGCAGAAAGAAATGGGGGAATGGGCCTATTCTGAGAATCAAACTCCTGCCCACCAGACCCCTGTGCGCGCGGGGACACACACACGGGCCACATCCCAGGTTCGGGCCAGGCGAGGGCAGGAAGGAGCCCCGCAGAGCCCCTCCCCAGCGGCCTTCTCCATCTCTCCATCCTTTGCTGTCCCCAGGCTTGCGGCTCCCTCCTCCGAGTTTCTCTCCCTCTCCAGCCGCTTCTGGCGGCCTCTGCTGCTAACCCTTGGCCTGTCTCTCTCGTCTCTTCTCCCTCTGTTCCTCCACCTTACCCCCCCCCTTTCCTTGGACTCTCCATCTCTCCTGCTCCTCAGCCCAACCACGTCCTGCTCCCTCGGCGGCCACCGGAGCCTCAGGGTGACGGGAAGGAGAAAAGAGGCTCTGAATGGGCCCCTGCTTTGCGGGCGGCCTGGGGCCATGCTGTGTTCCAGTATGGGCTGTAGGGGGGCAGGGGAGCCAGGCGACCAGGACAAAAGCTCAACCAAGGGAGGAGAGCTGAAGGGATGGAAGAGAAAAGACAGAAGAGCAAACAGTAGGGACGCCTGCGTGGCTCAGTGGTTGAGCCTTGGCCTTCGGCCCGGGGCTGGTCCTGGGGTCCTGGGATCGAGTCTTGCATCGGGCTCCCTGCATGGAGCCCGCTGCTCCCTCTTCTCCCTCTGCCTGTGTCTCTGCCTCTCTCTCTCTCTCTCTCTCATGAATAAATAAATAACATCTTAAAAAGAAAAAGAACAAGCAGTAAAGAGGGGAGGATAAGGACTAAGGCTCCCTTTAAGCATATTTTGGGTCGGTCTGAATGGGAGGAGCTGAGGGGCATCTCCTGAGTCAGAGAGAGAACCATCCAGCAACAGGGCCCCGAGACTCAGCCAGAGAAACAAAGACCTGATGCCCACCAGGCAGCCGGTTCTGGGCTCTCTGGCTTACCGAGGGCTCACGGACCCCTCTCCCGCCTGCAGGCCTGCAGGCCGTGGTCGTCATCGCCCGTCCTGGAGTGCCGGGTCCCTCCCCACTCTCCTCCTCCTCCCCTAACACCCGCCCTGCCACCAGTGCGAATGACATCAGCTCTGGCTGCCGCTGTCCTCAGCCCTGCTGATGTACTCTCCCATGGGTGAAAGCGAGGCCAACCGCCCCTGCTCCACCCATTCATTCTCCGGTCCAGGAGCTGGGGCTTAGACATCCCAGCACCCCGGGGTGGAGTAGGACGGGCTGTACCAGGAAGCCATCTGCAGGACTTGGTGGGGAAAAAGGGGAGGGCCTGGGCACCAGGGGGAGGGAGAGGGGCTGGAAGGGGGCACTTGGGGAAGAGGGGCTGCGGCACTAAATCACACTGTGGGGGGCTCTCTCTGGCTGAGCTCAGTGGGGTGGGTAAAGGATAGACATTTGAGGAGGGGGAAAGAAGAATGGGGGATCGCCACATCTGGCAGGCAGGTGTCTGGCACCGTTCAGGCTGCAGTCACTTTCCCAGCCAAAGGGGAGGACGTGGAGACGGGAGGAGGGGCTTCCCAGGGCCCCCTGGGGAAGAGGGAAAAGCTTGCAAACACACACCCAGAGGCCCAGAATCAGATGGAGACCGATGGAGGGAGATCATCAGACCCTGCTCCCCAGTCTGTGCTTCAGTCGGTGCCGGAGAAGGGATGAGGGTTTGCTCCTAGTCCTGAAGGAAACCCGCTGGCCAGAGGGCTGGACAGGCCAGGGCACCAGAGTTCCCCTCCTCACGGGAAACAGAGGCAGGAAGGGCCAAAGCAGGCGAGGCCGAGGCCGGGGAAACAAGCTCAGAGGATTTCAAGTCTGAGAGCTGCTGAGAACTGGGCTCTCCACGCCGACCCCAGCCGCCCTCCCGCAACCGGGGTCAAGGCTGGGTGATGCAGGAAGACTAGGGTGGTGGGGCCGGACGCCGCTTCCCCGTGGCCGGCAGGCTAAAACCGGGGTGCCTGGCCCTCCTCCAAACCCCTGCACCCCAACTTTCAGAGCAGACGACAGGGGTGATAACCCAAGCGTTTTTTTTTCTACCTGCTAAGGGGGATTCCGGGCACAGTCCCCACAGGTGCTGAGCTCTACTGCCAGGTTCTCCTACAGCGGGGAAGACTGGACAACGGGGTTCAGGTCTTGATGCTGGAGAGGCTCTTCCCAGCTCCATCACCTTCCTTCCCTCAGCCTCTCCTGAGGCCCTACCACGGTGTCTCCCGCGGTCTCCCGGGATTGCGGGATTGCGGCGGCCCCACGGCCCGTGCGTGGGCTGGAGAGGGGCCGGGGAGGAGACCCTTCGCGACTGCAGCGCAGAGGAGGGCTCCCCACACCGCCCCCCTCCCCTCCCCCCTCCTCCCTGCCGGGGACGGGGACGGGGACGGGGACAGGGAGGACGCCAAGGCCCTCGGTCGCCGCGGCAACCACAAGCCCCGCGAAATCCATCTTGTGAGCTCACCGCCCCATTAGGATGCAGGGCCAGGCTCCGCGCCAGCCCAGCCACATTCATTTGCGCGCGCAGAGGGGAGGCGGGCGGGCGCCGGCCGCGGCGGGGGCGCTTATTTACACGCGGCCTGACCTTCCGCAGCGCAGCGCAGCGCGGCCGGCCCGGCCCGATAAATAACGGCTGCGCCGGGCGGAGGGGAGGCGGGGGGGGGGGGGGGGGGGGGCGGCGCAGGGGGGGCGGAGGGGGGCGCAGGACGGGCAGGGCGCGGGCCCCACGCAGGTGCGCGTCTCCGGGTTACTAATGGCCGAGGCGGGAGCCGGGAGCCGGCAGCTGGCTTTGGGGGCGGCGGGGGGCGCTCGGTTCCCCGGGACTCCCACCGCGCGAACGGCACCCCCGCCCCACCCCTGGCGCCGATTTCCAGGCGAGGGGACGGAGAGATGCCAAGGAGGCAAACAGCCCCGTAAATTAGGGACGGGCTGGAATGCTGGGGAGTCTCCGAGGTAGGAGGGAAGAAATATTGTAAGACGGGGAGTGATGGGGGGGCAGAGGAGTGGAAGCAGCTGCCAAAAAGAGAGGAAGAGGAACAGAAACATCACACAAAGGCAGTCTGGAAAAAGAAATCGGTTTTATTCCTCTTTGCACAGAGCAGGATGCGAAGGTGGCTATCTGCCCACTCCAGACCTCTCTGACCCAAAAATGCCCCCTCAAAGAAGCCCCGTTACTCGCCCCACTTCAGTCTTGGAGAACTGGCAGGTAGCGGGTGGGACGGAAGGCTGGAGTCTCAGGAAGGTTTTTTTGAGACATTTTTGTGGGAAGCTTTGGGTCAAGGGGAAAGATTAGACCCAAGAGTGGGTGTTCCAGCCTCCATCTTCCTGGGGAAATCCAAATCCCAAAGGTTTTCTGAAGAAAGGCACCTCTCTCAGCGGCCTAGGGAGGGAAAGAGCCCAGACCTACTGCCTGGATGTAAGGCTGAGGCACAGAGGAGGAAGACCCGAGGCAGGGGAAGAGCATGTGGGGAAGCCGGGGGCCAGAGGCCAGAGGCCAGAGGCCCAGTCATAAATCTGTCCCCCGCCCCAGTTCTGAGCAAAAACTCTCCTTCCCAAGACTAAAATGGAGTTTTAGGTCGGGGGACTGGCTTTGCTCCAGGGCACAGCGAGGACGAGCCAGGCTGGGATCCCACGGGTCAATCCCACGGGTCATGACGCTGGAGAGTCGAGGGAGTGGGCCAGGGGACAGACACGGCAGTGAACACTCACAAACCACAGTGGCTCTGAAGCTATGAGCCAGGATCAGGGTAAAGAATGCAGCTGCGACTGAAATACAGAATTTTATAAGCCCTATCCAATAAACTGTAAATCCCTGCGTCTTCCACTCTGTCCCCTGCCCATGAGAAAACCAGCAATCTTTTTTTATCCAAGGCTGGAGGACAGGGCAGTAAGAAGGAATGGGAGGAAATGCGGAGGCCACTAAGTGGGGCTGTGGCTTAGCCGGGATATGCCACCCCCACTCATCCTATAGAAAAGAATTCTCGCTCCCCCTCCCCTTGCTAACATATGGGCTGTTGGGAAAAAGGCCCAGTAAAGGCAAAGGGAGGAAAACATTCAGCACATTCTTTCTCCTGCTTTGATCTCAAGTGTAACTGCAGCAGAGGGCACAGGAGTTGAGAAGAAAATATGGGGGGTAGGAGAGCATGAGCAAAATCTGGTGTAAAAAGGAAAAGGGTGCTTCCCTTACCCTACGCTTGAATCTGCTGGGAGCTTTGCTCCCAGACTGCAAAAACAGAGACAGAAGAGGATGTATACGTGGGGGTTTGGGGAGCAATCACAGACAGAATGGAGATTTAAGGATCCCTTGTGATCCCCGAGATGACCCTGAGAGCATCAGTTGGGGGACTGGATGAGAAGTCACAGCAGACGTGTGGATTTTTTGAGGGGGTGAGGAGCCAGGAACAGTGAGGTCTTCACCGAAGGAGTGACCACTTGATCTGTTCTTTGGCTGACTGCAGCACCTGCAGGGACAAGGGCGGCAGTGAGGGGCTTGCCTGGGGCAGGGCAAGGTCAGAGACCAGGGCTCTCCTTCCCCTCACTTGCCTTCCCTGTCCTTAGGAGAATGGCAAATACAAAATCCCCAAGGGTAGAGGGATGGGAAGAAGCTCTCTAAGGCCCTAGAGGGTTGTCAGTTTGGGAAATTCCAAAAAAATTCAAATCCACTGGGGGGATGAAGAGAGAAGAGGTATACCTGGGAGGAAAGAAAAAAACTGGGGGTTACTGGACATATGTTAGAAAGGAGGGGTTACCACATCCAGATGGACTTCTTGGTGAGAATTCCAAATAGATAGAAAACAGAATCCCTCCCTTGCCTCCCGAATCAGGTAGGCAATCTATCCATTAAGGAGCAGGATGGATCTGCAAACCTGCTTATTCTAGGATATGCATTTCCAGCTTAGCCTCATTTGAATAATAAGAAGAGAGAGAGAGAGAGAGAGAGAGAGTGTGTGTGTGTCTGTGTGTGTGTGCGTGTGTGTGTGTGCGCGCGCGCACACACACAGACCATCTGTTTAAGGCAAGCCTCTGCTGGGGAATAAATCACTGAATGAGGCATCAGGCAGGGAGGGTTTGAAGGGTACAGAGCAAGGCTGACAGCCACTGCTCACAGCAAAGTGGGATAGGAGTTGGGTGGGCAGGGCGTGTTGGCTGGATAAGGCCCAGTCCTCTGGAATACGAGGGAGCCAAGAAAGATGGGTCTTCAGTCTCTAGACTCATTCAGACTTGGGCTGGGATGGAATGCTACTCCAGCCTCTTTAGTGGCCCCATCCATCCTGGAGAGGAAGAAAGGAGAAAGTCCTACCTGAGACACGGTCTGCTCCGTGAGGGGGACATCTTCACCCTACGGCACAGAGAGACAAACATTTAGCACGGGAGAAAGCTGCAGTAACACCTGACCGGAGTCAGTAGTGGAGAAGGAAAAGGTGGTCCCTTTCAACTGTAGCAGGAGGCAGATGCCCGACTTCTGAGTCCCTTCTAGGTAGTAGAGCCACAGTTTTCTTGGCGAGGGACTGTGAGCAGGAAAGGGTCATTTCATCCATCCTCTAAGGCAGGAGGACTTCTTAGAAGATTTATTCCATTCCAAGTAATCAGCAGGTTATCTGATCCTCAACTTGGGGGTGGGGGACCTGATTCCCTAGTCAGAGAAGACCTTCCCTGAATATCAATATCACCAGGGAAAGGATGAGGGGGAGCCAGGGGTAATTTAATGGATCCCGCAAGGCCTGATGGGTAACGACAGCATGTTAATTTGAAGAAATAAACTGCTGCAACAGCAGCCTGAGAAGGGGAAGGCGGGAGTGGGGGGGGACCCTCTCTCTTGCCACATAGAGACATATGTTAGAGGAGAAGATTAAACTATGCAAATGGAGCCCACGGCAGTTAAGGGAGAAGATTTCCCATTACCCGGCACTGTCAGCCTTCACTCTGTGGAGGTCAGAGCTGGGACATTCCATGAATGGGGAGATTTGCTTTGCTCAAACACCTCTGCACCCCAAAATTTACTGGTGGGCTCTCCCTATACCCACCATTATCTCCCCAGTGGACTGGGAGACGTCCGTGGTTAACTCAGAGGCCCCTTTTGGAGATTACTGCTACCAGGAGAGGACTGAGGTTCTGGCAAATAAATGCTTCCTGAGAGAGAGCTGCTGTCCTCACTTACATAAGAGTTTAAGACAAGGAAGACACTCCTCTGCCTCAGCTGACTGGGATCCGTCCCTAAAGGGAGTAGAAGTCAACCCCAAGCTCCTTTATAATTTCAGAAGCATTAATATCAGTTTCTTTTATTCATCATTGATTCACCTAAGGATGTATTAAATGACCCTCTGTGCAAAGACTGTAAGGGACGCTCGGTATCAGGCAAAGGGGCAAAAGTATGCTGCTTCTGCTTCCTCTCTTTGAGACAACGAGAATTTGAATGGGAAGGAGAAGGCCATATGGATTCTATAAGCCCTAACCTTCGTAGGCATTTAGCAGGTCGGCCCTGGAGGGTGAGTAGATGGGGGAAGAAGGGGAGCACACTCCTGCTTACCCTTAATGCCACCCGGTGTACCACTTGCTGGGGATCACTCTCTAGGATCACCCTAAGAAGATAAAGAAGAGACCATCATTCACTCTGTCCTACAAGACAAACTCATTCACTGTAGGGAAACTCTGGTCACTCAGGCCACTCGCCTTAGGGCAGAGGCAATTACTCCATCCCCTCACCCCAGATCCAAGGCAGGTCAGAAAACTCACCCTCCGTCTACAATTTCATCCACGGCCAAGAAGAGCCCCTCCATGTTCTCCAGCAGAGCTCGCTTTTCTACATTTTTCCTGAGTCCCCAAGAGAAGAGAGAAAAACCAGCCTGTGTGTAAAAGGAACCCTAGGACATTGTTGAGTTGGAGATCCAAAACTAGACCTATAAAATGTCTCCACCAACCACACAGACTAAAAAGTAAATAAGAACTTTTTGGCTTATCCACTCTAAACCTCTTCTTACTCTTAGTTGCTAATAAGTAAGGATCAGGAATGTCAAGAAAGAGATTCAAAGAATATAGGCAATTTCTGACTATTCAAGGGTTGATTATCCAGCTAGTTTCTCCCCTACCTACCGCGATGCTGCTAGTGACACTGCTCGTAAACACTGACATCAGTGGGTGGAAAAAAGGAAATAAACAGCTAAACTCAATCTGGAGGTGGCGGGAGGGTGAAGAGGAGTTGAGTGCAAAGTCTATTTGTACTTCAGCTCTGACAACCCTTCTAAGCCTCGCTCCACTCCCCCCGCCTCCCCGTCCCTCACCAGCTCTTCTCAGGCCTTGAAAAGAAGCCCAACTAGGGGGCTGGGAACCGTCAGGGCCCTCGTCCACCAGCCTTAGATCCGGTGGTTGTGCATGTGGCCAGTCACATCCGTCAGTCTGACTCTTTCACTAGATCACTGAAATGAAGTCTATTCATTCACCTGGCTAAGAAATAAATCATCCCCTTCCTGAGGAAATCTGAGCCATTCGCCCTGCTGATTTTGTGGGGCTGAGAGCGCCTGCTGTTCTGCTCCGGATGGCGGATGGCTGTCTGTACTGGGTTCACTTGGGAGCTGCTGGGGGAATGAAGTTCAGAGCCCTGGATGTTTTCAGGAAAGGTATCTTATATCTCCTCTGTTGCCCGTCTACAAGGGAACAGGGCTGCTGGGGAGGTGGAAAGGGAGGGGAAGGTAAATGGCATATTCTTCCTGTTTTAAAGAAGGGAAAATCTAAGGGCTAAAGTTAAAAACTGGGAGCGCTGCCTCCTTTCCCAGGGTGCTGATGTTACATCTGGGACATTCCCCTATGCTTGCCCTTTCCCTACCCTCTAATGAGGTCTAGGAAAGCACCATAAGGGTGCTTAGGACTCTGACAGAGCCACTGGGTAACATGAGAGTAGACAGACATTGCTCCTCCTCGTCCCCGTTCTTAGGAGAATTATCCCACAGGAGGGACATACTTTCCATCCAGTCCCCCCCATCAGTGCGAATTACTCTGAAATAATAAGCCTCACTTCTCAAGGTAAATCAATTCCCGGGAGCCTCTGCTAATTCCCCCCCAAATCCCTGGGCCTGATGAATATGACTTTCTCTCCCCAACAGATGTCAAGAATGGCCTGCTCACCTCAGCATCTGGCTCAATGAGTCAAAGAGGCAATTCAGAACAGCCATGAGCATCAGCTGTTGGGAGACAGAAGAAGCAGAAGGATAAGGTTCAAGGCCCTGAAAACTGCTACCTGAACACAAAACTCACTAATTCATTAAGCGTCAAAAGACACAGGCTTTCTTTCACAAAGGACCAAAAGCATAAGGTGAAGACAGAGCAAAACAGAAGAGGACCTGTGAGTTCTCACAGAAATAAATTCTGCTATACGATCCCACAATTTGAGGTCTGTCTTTGGCCAGACTGTTCAAACTTCCCTATCATAGTCCCCAACACGTCTTTACCAACTCTATATGTGTCACCCAGTATCTTAGGTAAAGAAGTCATTAACCAAACAATAGCTCAGCTCAGAGTCAGTGGAAGGAGCATGGCCTTTTGGAGTAAGATAGATCTGGGCTTAAGTCCCAGCTGAGCCATTTCTAAATGTGTGACCCCGGGAAAGTTATTAGGTTGAACCATATGAAACTGCTACTTCTGTAGTTCAACAGTGGCCATATGCACGGAATTCCATTACATTCCTCATGGCTTGGTTTCCTCATCTATAAAACAAGGGCACAGGGCAGCCTGGGTGGCTGGGCGGTGGAGCGTCTGCCTTTGGCTCAAGGCGTGACCCCGGCATCCAGGGATCAGGTCCCGCATCAGGCTCCCCACATGGAGCCTGCTTCTCCCTCTGCCTAAGCCTCTGCCTCTCTCTCTGTATCTCTTATGAATAAACAAATAAAATCTTTTTTTTTAGTATATTAACCCCAATTTGACCCACCCTAGTAACTCTTTTTTTATTTTTATTATTTTTTTATTTTTATTTTTATTTATTTTATTTTTTTATTTATGATAGTCACACACAGAGAGAGAGAGAGAGAGGCAGAGACACAGGCAGAGGGAGAAGCAGGCTCCATGCATCGGGAGTCCGATGTGGGATTCGATCCCGGGTCTCCAGGATCGCGCCCCGGGCCAAAGGCAGGCGCCAAACCGCTGCGCCACCCAGGGATCCCCAGTAACTCTTTTTTTAAAAAATATTTTATTTATTTATTCATGACAGAGAGAGAGGCAGAGACAGAGGCAGAGGGAGAAGCAGGCTCCACGCAGGGAGCCTGATGTGGGACGATCCTGGGACCCCGGGATCACGCCCTGAGCAGAAGGCAGGTGCTTAACCACTGAGCCACCCAGGTGTCCCAAATAAAATCTTAAAAACAAAAAAGAAAGGGCACAAATGCCCATAACCCAGAAGTGCCATAAGATAGAAGTAACAAAGCACTTAAAGTAGTAAGAGCTTCAAAACAGTTGGTTCTCTCAAACTTTAACTTTTGCTTCAAATTATGTGGGGGCTTATTTCTACTTATCTACTCCCGTAGACGTTGCACCTGAGGTAAGTAGCCTTTCCTGTGCACAGGTTAGGACTGTACCCACGGTCTTCTCAATTTGATCCATTCAGGATGTATGGCTTCATTCAACATGACCCCAAATATTGTCTAACTCATCCAAACTCAGTTAGGTGTGCACCCTACGTAGCAGGAGGAAGCATCCCTCCAACCTTGACCACACCTCAGAAATCCATCTTTTATGGATGCCCGGGTGGTTCAGTCAGTTAAGTGTCCAATTCTCAATTTTGGCTCAGGTCATGATCTCAGGGTCATGAGATCAAGCCCGGTATTAGGCTCAGTGCTCAGCACAGAGTCTACTGGAGATTCTTTCTCCCTCTCTCTGCCTCTGCCCCCCACACCCCCAACACTTGCGCTCGCTTTCTCTCTCAATAAATAAAATACTTTTAAAAACCTCATATTAGCCCCCCACTGGGAGTAGACATTACTTAAATAACAAAACTGAAAGAAGAAAGAAAGAAAGAAAGAAAGAAAGAAAGAAAAGAAAGAAAAGAAAAGAGAAAAGAAAAGAAAAGAAAAGAAAAGAAAAGAAAAGAAAAGAAAAGAAAAGAAAAGAAAAGAACGAGCAATTGGGGGAAACGTCCACTCTAGGCTGATTTGCTAGGCCACATTTGTGAGGTCAACAGTGATCTCTGACAACTTCTTTACCCCAGAGGGACGTGGCACTCCTGGGGTCCAGACCCAATGACTACGTCCTGCCTTTGGTTTAGGAAGTGGGATCAGAGAGAGCGAAGAGGAGTGGGATTCTCACCTCATTTTCATAGGAGCTGCCAATCACATAGAAATAGAGATCGATACTGCTCTTGTATACCACCGTCAGGCCTTCCAAGAGGGCGATTTCACCTGGGGAGGGGGAGAAAGGGAAGGTGGAAATAGTGGGTGGCCTGAGATAAGGAAGTAAGATAGAAGGAGTTGCCGCGAACTCCTGGTACCCAGCTCTTTGGGCTTAAGTAAGGTTAAGTCATAATAGCCCCCAAAGACCAAAGTTCGCCTGCTTTTTCCTTCTGAGTGGGTAGCACAAGAAGGGAAGTACAAACTTGGGGGAATCAAAATGTATCTTCTCCTAACCACCTCCCCAACAACTACCCTTATTTCCCTCCTTGTATAGGAGACAGGATACTAGTCGATCCTTCGGAGGTGAAAATGCAGAGCGGTCACCTTTACAGACTTCCATTTACCTGCCCTAATGGATGCGGTACAATAAGCAGAGCTGCAGTTAAATTTGTCAAGTGAGGCTCATAAATCCAGGGACTAGACAGGTAGCTAACAGCCAACCTTCCAGCACGGTATTCCCGCGTGAGGTACACTCACCTCCCCATTACATTCTGAAGAGTTTATTATATGAGGGGAGGAGGAAAAAAGAGAAAAAGGAGGCAGTCATTTTATCCTTTCTCTGCAGTCCTGCTGCCACCCCCTGCCCACCCTGGTTCCCCCAGCACAGGGAGCAGCGAAAGGAAAATGACCTACTGTCAGTCCGATGGGTCTTGTTGAAAATGTTCTTCTCAAAGGCCTTTTGCTCCTTGACACTGGGGTAGGTGTCGTCATAGTACTGGTCAAGGGAAAGGAGATGGGTTGGGTCATTAGAGCTGGGAGCCCAGAATGATTAGTGACTGTGTTTTGCCCTGGATCTTGGATTTCTCGCCTTTAAGGCATGGGGTGAGGGAAAAATACTGGCACGAAGGAAGAACTACGGAGGTAGGGAATGGTCAGTGAGTAACTGAATATAAAACAAAAAACAAAAACAAAACTCTTGTAAAGACCCCGCCATAAGCACGCCCACCTCACATCCCTAAGGACGGAGGCCTGTGATGAAGCTCTACCCCTGTCTGCATTCTGGGAGAGCAACGCTGAGGCCACTCTCATCCAGTGCTTCCTAGGAGCTACCCCATGGCAGGGAGTAGGGAACACAAAAGGCACTGGGGCACAGAACACGCCTTTTAGACCCTCACTCACACTATGAAGCTGAGGAATGGGAATGGGCAAAGGCTGCAAGAACCTCCTCTAAAGAAAGGCAAACCCGACTCAATCTCTCACAGATCTCAGCTCTCTTTTCTGCAAACTGAAAGAAGCAGGAGACAGTCGAGCACATTGTTGAGCCCACTCCCAAGCTCTCCCTGGCTGGCAAGGGGTAGAGATACAGGCTGCTAAATCGCTCTGCTCTTTAGGGGCTAATCCGTCGCAGTCAGCTGAAGACCTATGACAGGTCTGGCATTTAGTAACTGGATAACTGTTTCAAAAGGTGTCCTGCATAGTTACATCCAATTACAGGGAGGAACAGCTGGTGAATTCTAAACTAATCTCTACCTGCTGATTGATTTATGCTGTGCTCGCCCGGAGTGAATACACCAGGGACAGAAAAAATTTCCACAGGAGGGGGAGAATATGGAGGGAGAGGAGAGGGGTGTCCTTTCTCCTCTCTTTCAATAGATCCAAAGTTGGAAACATCACACTGGGGACGTCAGGAGGTAACAAGCCTGGTGGTGACTGCAGACCTAGGGCTGGAACTCTGGAACTGCCGGGAAAATTCCTGGAAAAACCCAGGCAGGGTGACAAAGCAGAAGGAAAGGGGACAGGAGTGACGGGCCTGGGCAACCTGCTTCTCACATCCAAACACTGTATTGTTCAGAAACCAAGGTTCCCAAGCTTTTCCCTGCTCTGGTACAACAAAGGAGGTCAGAATCTGTGGGAGGCAAGTGTGGAAGCAGGGCAACCAAGATACAGAAACGGTTTTATCTGGAGTAGGCACAAGAAAGAGGAATTCTCAAAATTATAGTATCAAGGACTATGAAACAGGGGCAGTCCCAAATCCAAATCTCAAAATAAGTCTTTGTCTTGCTCCTAAATGAATTTCAAAGGGAATCTCACCTTGGCAAAAAGTCGATCTCCATCATTGTCCAGAATCAGGATGGCTTTGACAGTATACAGGGAGGGTTCCTGAAGAGATATGAACATACCTTCAGTCCTGAAGGCTCCTGCCACCCCTGGCAAACCACATATCTTCCCCTAGTCCCAGTGGGGCTGCAAGGGGATACAGAGGTGCCTCCGTATGTCCCCTATCCCGAATGGTTCCATTTAGACAATCCCCACCGAGAACGATCAAGTGGTGAATGAACTGAACTGGGCTGGGGGGGGGGGGGGTTCAACAAAGGACTCTAAAGCAGCATCAGAGAAACAGTTTCTCTGAGCCAGACTCACAGAGGGTTTGATAAAGGTAGGTCATGCTCTTATTTTCAAATATTATGCTACAGTTATTTTCCAAATTACCCTCTCTCCCTGGTCTCCCATGTGCAGGTAGGTATGGAATGCGACCAGATTAATTAGTAGGCACCGCACGAGGCTATCTGAAAATAGGGTTGAATGCCCTAGTGTACTTGAAGTTTCTGCAGTCCCAATGCAGTAGCAATGCAGAGGCATAAAGCAAGCCTTCCCTAAACCACCCACACACCGAGCAGAGGGAAACGAGCACGCATGCGTGCACACACACTCATACACACAAACACACCAGTTCTGAATGCAGCCCAGTGAGACATCCATCTTCCAAGACTTCCCCTATGATCCCAATTCCTCTAGTACACCCCCAACCACTACCACTTAACCTGCCAAGACAAAAACCAACCTGAATTCTGGAGGAATTAAGTAGTAAGAAAAGGATCTACGAAGCCCGGAGCCTGGATATAATGAGCAAGAGGGGAGTGTTCTTTTACTACCAAAAATCAAATTTTGAGGATAATAGCTCTCACGAAGGAACTGCAGCCTCAGCCTTAATGGTTACACTCAAACAAATGCAAAACATAGCACTTTGCAAAAGCTCCTCTACTCCTGCAACTTCTAGGGAACCAGCTAACAGAAGAGGAAGAGGAAGGAAAGGGAGGTAGTGTGATGTGTCTGGAAGGGTCTGCAGGCTCACATTCCTCGAATTTCTTTCTTTCTTTCTTTCTTTCTTTCTTTCTTTCTTTCTTTCTTTCTTTCTCTCTCTCTCTCTTTCTTTCTTTCTTTTTTTTTTATATATTTTTTAAGCAGGCTCCACACCCAGTGTACTCACAACCCCAACATCAAGTTGGCTCTACCAACTGAGCCAGGTGGTGCCCCTCACATTCCTTGAATTTCTAATCAACATTACTTACCATTGCTATCCCTCCCCTGTGCTATGAGAAAGGGCTGTTGCTTTGCTGCCTCCCTTTCCTGGCCTTACTTAGGAAACCCGCAGTCCTCACAGGGGCTAAATATAATCTCCAAGCATGTGTTTAACAGAGACCCAAGAGTGAAGATGGAAGAATTATTGCCAAGGATCCTGAAACTGCAACCTCTACAAAGGTAAACTGTCCCATGAGGCTCCAGGAGGTTTATGGTTCCACGAAAAGAACCAACCCTACCTTGGGGAGTTAAGAATGAGAGCAAAGGGAACCCAGTCTTTTGACAACAGGGTGATGAAGAATGCGTGCTTTCCCCACTTGGAATTCTTGAGGATAGCAATTTTTGTGTTTTGCTCACTGATTTATTCCAAGTGTCCTGAACAATGTGCGACATACACTAAACTCCCAGTACTTGCTGAATGATCAAGAGAATTAATGAAGTTTGAGAATAAAGAAAAACTTCCTAAAGCAGTAAGCATCTAGGGGACCCTCTCATAAGCAGACTTCCAGATATAGGTAGACGTTCTGCTGTGGCCATCTTGGGTGACATTACTACCAATTTCTCTCTCCTCTGGTAACACTCCTTAGAGACGCCCACCTATACACATTACCCCCTGGAATAAATACACTGTCTGACTAAGGAACTCTGCGTCTAGCAGAGGGCAGTCCCCCAGAGGCTCATCTAAAAGGTCACAAGTAGAGAAGCTTTCCTAACTCTTAAACCCCACAGAAAGCTCTTCCCATAAAGCAGGCTCGATTCTATAGCAACTGGATCCTCAATTCATCAAAAAGGGAGACACCAATGGGAATGAGTGTCCTTAATAAGAGGAAAAGAAGCCCACAGGGAAGGAAATTCACAAGAGGTCATTTTCCCTACAACCTCTTCCCTGGAAATCCTTGGCTCTGTTCCTCTCTCCACATTCACAGGAACACTGGAGAGCTTCCTAAAGGTTTACGCTGGGCACTGATCTGGCATCGGTGACTGGTTCCTGCAGCCACAGACTCTGGCATCCCTAGAAAGAATGGGATGGATCCCAAAGAAAAGAAAGACTCTCTTAGCCAATGGGGTACGAGTGCCTACAACTGCTGGCAAAGGCAGAAACAGATCCCTGGGCTAACCCCAAAATAGGAACTGGATCTCTGTGGGAAGGATGGAAGACGGGCAAAGGCAGGCAGGGGAAGACCAGACCCAGCCTACCAGCGCTCTCGGGAGGGCAGAGGCCCTAGAGAAAAGGCTGATCATTTCAAACTTCAAAGGAATAAGCACACTAAACACAGCCGAGAACTCAGCCCTGAGTGTAAAAGCTGCTTCAGTTCTCCACTGTGCACAGCGGGAGCCAGCGGCTTCTCCTGTCCTTCTCCTGCCACCTCCCGACTGCCGCCGGGGGGCCTCCACCTCTCAGGGGTGGGGAGGCCACGAGTTCCTCTCCTACCATAAAACCAGCCAGTTTAAAGGCCCCAGAAGCCATTACTGATAATGTGATTTCATCTTAAGTTTTTGCAAAGGGCAAGTTTATAAATAACTCCTGGCTATTGAGAAATGGGCCTCCTGGACAAGGGACTGGGCCCGACCTTGTAACATATTAAATGCCGATGGCTGAAAAAGACTCTACAAGCTTAGGGCCATGTTCAAAGGATCTTAAAGGTCTATTCTTCCCTCCCATTCCCCAATGTGTAGCTGCTAGAAAGCTTTCGAGACAAAGTTCTGTGATGCACTGACTTTCAGAGAGCCACAGCCTGAGTGTATAACAGAACTTCACCTCAAATGCTAATTGTGCCTGGGAATGATACGCAGGCAGACTGGTTTGTGGGCGGTTGGGTGGCTCAGATACAGATTTCCTTGTATGTTTTTATTATCAAGAGAACTAGACCGGGCTCCTCAGGAGAGCTGAAACAACACGGAACAAGCAACCAGCCTGCTGCAAAGGACTCTTTGATCTCAATCGGAGGCTTTCCGAAGCCTGGTGGAAAACATCATCTCCCAGCACCCCCGCCGCCGGCACAGAGGGACAGGCCGGGGCCGCCGTTCCTAGTGCTGCCCCCTGTGGGCCTTCGAATGACCTGCAGCTTTCTCAGGATAACAGCAAAAATCTTAAAAAGGCAGCTCTGCATAAAAGCTCTCTAATTGTGTGTCTCCTAAGTCAAACTAGGAGAGATGGGTTCTGAAAAAGCACCGAATTAGGTCAGTTCACAACGTACACAGTAAGAGGGCACTCTGGGATAAGATCACGAAACGCCACCAGAAAGGCCTGGGATTGCAGCAGGCAGACAGGATATTTGAGGGCTAAGCCTGATTATTTAATTCACGGGGGGGGGGGGGGGGATACGATCAAGAAGCCTCTGTGGAGTTAGAGGACGCCATCCACGCGGCTGAAAGGACACAAGTAAGAATCCGGTTGAGATTCCTAGAAAGTTCTTCATTTTCCACTTATAAAGAAATCTTTATGGCCATGCCAAAAGTAATACCCTGGCTTGGCAATAGGTCCTAAACAACAAGAAACCAAGATGCTCTTCCCTCGACCCTATTTATAACGTAAAACCAAGACAGGATACCGCTCCCAGCTCCACAGAGCTAAGCAGGTATTGCTCCCTGATTCTGTGCCAACTTCTTTAAAATGAAAAGCTCCTCTGGGGTTGAGGGCTTCAATTTGCCAGCCACGACCCAAGGGACTTCAAACGAATAGAATTAGCTCAAGGCTCCGACAAGGAAGCACAGTGTTTACACACCACCCAAAGGTTTGCTTGGATTCAAGCACAACTCAGGAGAGACTAGGAGCCACAGGTATCAGAGAACGGAAGCCAGATGCCATGAGACCAGGTACTGGCTATAAAGAGGAAACCGAACACGAGTCTTAGGAAGGAAGAAGTGATGTCAGGAAGAGACACCTAGAGAATCTTCGTACCTGACACAGATACAAAACGTGAAAGCACAGCGACTGCCAACAACTCATGACCTACAGGAGAAAATGTCTCTCAACACTTAAAATCCTTTATTATAATCTGGGTCCGCCATTAACTCAAATTCTACCTTTCTTGGGACTCCACTGCTTCATCAGAGAAACGAGAGGCCTGACCCAGATCAATCAAAGTGAATACCTTAAATTACAGCAGACCTCTTGGGTAAGCTGGTGAAATCTATGGACCCTGTTCCCAGAAAAATATACATTCACAAATTTTTATGATTTCATGGAGCTCAGTTAGAATTAAATATGATACTTGGTGAGGATAATAAGATCATGTGGAGAGGGGAGGGGAAAAAAAGGGGAAATGAGTGATACTTTTGTAAATCACCCCCCTTTCCTCTGCCTGGCACCAAATCATGATTTCAACAAATATGTGTGTGGCCTTCATAAATTAATGAATATGACTGAGAAAACCAACGCAGCCAGCAGGGGGAGCAAAGGTCAGCACCTTTCAATGACTAAATTTGGCGGCTATGAGACAGGAAGGACAAAGATAACCAAGCCCAAGCTCTTCAGGAATGCAAAAATTTTTAAGATATTTTATTTATTTACTCATGACAGAGAGAGAGAAAGAGAGAGAGGCAGAGAAATAGGCAGAGGGAGAAGCAGGCTCCACGCAGGGAGCCCGACGTGGGACTCGATCCTGAGTCTCCAGAATCTCGCCCTGGGCTGCAGGCGGTGCTAAACCGCTAAGCCACCGAGGCCGCCCAGGAATGCAAAATCTTAAGTCCTCTCTTAAAATTCAAAAAGCCGGGAGCCTGGCTGGCTCAGTTGGTTGAGCAGGCAACTCTTAGTGTCAGGGTTGTGAGTCTGAGCCCCACATTAGGCCGAGAACTGATTTAAAAAAAATTTTTTTAGAAAGTCGACCCGCAGGATTTTTCCCCGGGGGCCACACAGTAAAATCTCCAACTACTATGAAGGTGAAAGAATTACAGAAACGCAGCACTGGCAAGAGGAGCTGAACAAGCAGAAATCAAAGTACCCGCACCGGGGGCCTGACAGCAACATTGGAACTTCCTGCCTTCCCAGGTCTGTAACCCAAGCGCCCTCGTTTAAATACCATTCGGTAAAGGGAAAAATCAAGTGGAACTACATCTACTTCTGCCGGGTCCTGGTTACGATGATGTCTAAGGCTGTCCGTGCCCCCCGCCCCCCGTCTGCTGGTCTGAGAACGAGCTGACAGCCTCTGTGCTCACCTTACCGTCTACCAACCCAGAACTCCAAATCACACTCTTTGGGGTAACTGCTACCCTCTGCCCCAGTCTGTCACCCTCTGAGACGTCCACAAATAACAAATGGAGTTGAAGGAAGTTGGCAGAGCGACCCAAAGCTGTGGCTCTAGGTGGGGACTATCTGCCTTGACCGTGTGAAAACGAAACAGCCAGAGAGACATGCGCTTCACCTGCAGCCTGTGATTTAGGTCACAGGGCAGAAAAGACTTCTGAAGCGATGGGCGTGGTCTAACGCCAGAAAAAACCCCGAAAGCTAGGAAATCTAAGGATAAGAGAGCTCCTCTAACAATGTGACCTGAGAGAGAGCCTCTTCTGTGGGGAATCAGGCAAGACAGATGTGAGAGGGCCTTTGCCAGGCCTGGCATCTCCTAACACGCACGGCCTCCATGTCCGGCCCAGCGGGCTCAGTCGCCCGCTGGCTCCGTCCCCTCATCACTCCCGCACAAGAGGATCGGCAGGCACGGATTCCTTATTCCTGTTTGACCCTTTATCTGCTTCTCGACTTCCCCTTTCCGTAACAGTCGTCTTGTCAGTATCCTAACTCTAACCAAGTCGGGTCAGTGGAGTAAAAAACAGTAGCAAGTATCTAGACGAAAAAGACCCTAAATCTGCCACTAGCCTCCCTCAAAGAACGGGATAACTGCATTCATCCTCTGCCTCACAGGGAAGAGCCGGCTTCTCAAAGACCTGGCTTTCTTCACATGGAGACCCCCTCCTCCTCTCTTGACCGTGTGACAGCTCCCCTAGACCTCTGATATAATTTATACCTTGCCAGGGACCAACTCTTTCCCACCACTGTGAAGGAGAGGGAAAAAATATATATAAATACGTCGGAAATCTATAACGAGGTCTTCTTGGAGGGCAAGACATGGAGAGAGTTAGAAGCAGCGTCAATTGCTCTTTGGGGGTTTTAGTTCAAGCCGAGGTCTGCTTCCAGCAATCAACCATTAAAACAAGCCGGCCAGAGTAACAGCACAGTTTATTCTGATCATTTAATTTGAAGTGTCAATAAATTAAACTTCAATCAATTAAACTAGGTGTGCAATAACCCAGATGGACACCCCGACACCAACATAATCACAATAAAAATTTTTATGGCTGCCAGGGACCTCACCGGGGGCAGTGCTGGCACTGCTTGCGCCCTCGCTGAGAAATATATCTCCACAGTGCAGGAACGAGGAGATTGCTTCTTCTAACGAAATGGAGGGGCCAGGCACCGGCAAGGACGCAGCTGGGAGAGGGGCACAGGGGACTGCCAGGAACGAGATGGGAGTGCTTTGGGGGCTTAATGTAATTGATACCTTTGCCCAGAGCAGGGGGAGGGGGCGTTTAGGCCAAGTACCTCTACTGTTAGTGCCAAAGGAATTTAACAAAAGCCCCATTAAGATGATTCAGGAAGCGAAGGCCACGGAGCAATATCAACCTTTAAGTCATTGATGTATTCCGCATAGTTTCCTCCTCCATATATACGCACCCTCTTGTGCACTCTGGATGCCCTGATTTTTGAATGAGGCTTAGAATTTGGGATTTGGCCACTGTAGGATAAAAAAAAATGTTACTAAAGGGAGAGAAAGGGTAGAACTAAGTCTGGTCTGAAAAACACTGGAAAAACACTCAAAGTGAATCTAGAGAGGATGAGGAAAAATGAAACCTCTGAGGAAAGATTTAAGGATCGAGACTGCTAGAGTAATTCATTGGAGGAAAAAAAAAGGTAGAGGAGGAAGGGGTAAGTCATTATCTTTAAGATTTCATTGGTTATTAATGGAGAATGGTGACCCGCAGAGATCCCTCTCCATTCACAGCGAAGAAAGGAAGAACCACCAGAAAACAGCAGGAGAGAGGAAGCCGAGTCCAAAGATGCAGGCTGGGAGCACTATAAAGCACTGGGAAGAGAAGGCGATGAAAGGGTCTCTTTCCTTAGAGACCACCAGAGGACCTGAGAAAAGATCAGACAAATCTGCTTGAAACCTAGGGCCAAGTTACCTAACTCAAGAAAGAAATGTGACCCACTGTAAAGTACCTAAATGAAGGGCACCTACTGGTAATTAGAAATCCCCATAATCAGATCAAATTTCGGCAGATGTTTCTTCTTGACCCCCTCTAGATTTCCCTTCCCTTCTCAATATCCTATGGCTGTGAGCCTCGCAGAGGTGGGGAAAGAAGAATATACTTTGATGAGATTTCCCCAGAGGTCCAGAAACCGGGAAACAGAAATGTGAAAGGAGGAGGCCGACAAGAACTTTAGAAGGTGTCTGCCCTGTTTGAGGAGTGGTTTGTTCAATATTATCACGTTACGGTAAACTCTAGTTCAGGAGAGACCTAAGGTAAGATCCATGGATTCCTCATACTTTTCACAATGAAGATGGGAATTTAAGTAATCAGATGCTGCTGGGTAAACAGAGGAGGGGGTGAGGTTTAAAAGGACCAATGCAGGAGGGTGATTCCGAGTCCAATGGGGCTCAATTTCTTGGGCCAATTTGTGAGTGTAAAGAGAAATAAAAATTTAGGAAGTATCACCTGATTTTTCAACTAGGGTTCCTCATCTGAAGCACTGAATCCTAAAAACTATTTAAATGACTACTTTTTTCTAACTTCTCCCAAGGATGGTACAAACTAGTACCATTGTGGATACAGAGAAGTTGATTCATTACGTTAATGAATGCCTAAGGGCTTCATTCTCTCCTAGAACTCTGGTTGAGAAAAGGCTGGAACAGCGAGAAAGATCTATAAATTATTTTTTTTTATTTTTATTTATTTATGATAGTCACAGAGAGAGAGAGAGGCAGAAGCAGGCTCCATGCACCGGAAGCCCGATGTGGGATTCGATCCCGGGTCTCCAAGATCGCGCCCTGGGCCAAAGGCAGGCGCCAAACCACTGCGCCACCCAGGGATCCCCCAAGATCTATAAGTTATTAATTTTTGGAGGCCAAAATTATAATGAGAGTGTAAAGAGCCAAAAAAAAAAAAAAAAGTCTTGGAGAGAGGCTAACCCGGAGGAAGGAAAATACTGGCTTATATCATAAGACCTCTGAAGACCAGCACACGTGTTGATACCTATTAGTACTTTGTCCCCAACAAAAGCCTTACGTAACTGAGGTTTAAAAGTACGATTCTGCATACTAAAGAGGTAGAAAGTCCACGATGAGAACACCTACAGTAACATGAGAGAGTGAGTGAGTGTCTGGGAGGATGACGAATCAAAATTTAATCCCAGTTTTGACACGCGCTTCCCTGAGCAATCCCTTTCCCCTGTAATTCGGTTTCCCCTAACCCCATTACGTAGATTTCTCATGACGAAGCATCAGTGTGGTTTTAGAACCAAAGTTCTGGGATGCTTGACGAGGTTCGAAGGGATCTGTAAAGCGGCGTCGTAGGTACAGATCAAAATGGATCTAAGGAAGCAGCAGATTGCAGACTTCACGGAGGAAGCGGAGGCTGAACCGAGGTAAGGGAAAACGTGAGGCTTTCACACATACCTCCTTCCACTCACCACTACACACCCATCCCTCGTTAAGAGGGCTCCCCAGGACCCTGTCCTCACTCTCGTACCTTTCAGCAGGCTCCCTTGTAAACAGATGGGCGGAGCGCATTTTAAGATTTTCTAAGGATTTCCGAAGAAATCAACTCCCTGGAGTATATCCTACTGTGTGTAAACCATACTGGCTCGGGGACGCCGGGGGTGCTCAGCGGTTCAGCACCCGCCCTGGGCCCAGGGCCTGATCCTGGAGACCCGGGATCGAGTCCCCCATCAGGCTCCCTGCATGGAGCCTGCTTCTCCCTCCGCCTGTGTCTCTGCCTCTGTGTCTCTCATGAATAAATAGATAAAATCTTTAAAAAAGGGAATACTGGCTAACTGCCTGGTGCAAAAAAATATCTCATTAAAAACTACTCAGGGACTGCCTGGGCTCCGTTGGTGGAGCCCGCGACTCTTGACCTGCAAGTCACAAGTTTGAGCCCCACTCTGGGTGTGGGGACTACTTAAAAAAAAAAAAAAAAAAAAAAGTTAAATCTAAGAATTTTGCAAGACTCAGATTTCAAGCCTGACCGATCCGTGCAGTCTGAAGGAGTCATCCCCATCGCTGCCCTTTTGGGGGAGAAGAACTAAAGCCCGTCACTCCGGACGTGTGCATGTGCTGGGGCTGAAGGAACAGACGCGGGAGGCACCGTCTCTGGGAAGCGGCTGGAATTCGGCTCCATCACGGGGGCACCCGGCGCTCACCCCAGATCCTAAGGGCGGAAGGAGGGCGCCCGCGGCCTCAAGAGGAGCCAGGGCATGACGTCCCGGGTCGTGACGCGGAGCCCCCGCAGGAATCCTCCGGCCCAGTTCTCAGGAAGGCGCAACGGTATCTTATTGGCTCTAAGAAGCAGAAGGGATCCCAGGGGCGAGGAACGCCCGCGCCCCTTTAGCCCCCGAGGCCGTCCCGTACGCGGAGGGCGCGTGAGCACCGCGCGCCCTGCACCGGGGGCTCCTGAACTCTTGGTGGGGGGCGGAAAACAAACAAAACAAAACAAAACAAGAAAAGCCACCCCAAAACCGGAGAACAGAAGGAGGGCTCCGGGGTCACGTCCCCAGGCCGCGCCGGGCGCACCAGCCATTCCAGAGCTGCGGTGGGACGCGCCCGTGACGACACACCTACACCGCGGGGCCGGCGGGGATGACGTCAGAGGGAGGCGTCTCGGGCGCTGTGACGCAAGCCCCCACGGAGGCCGAGCGTGGCGACCCCGAGGGCCCCAGAGGCGGGGCCCGCGCGCAGGGCCGCCGCCCAGAACGCCGAGGGGGCGCGCCCCGAGAGGCCGCGGCCCCGCGCGTGGACGGCGCCCGCGGCCCTCGACTTCCCACGGGCTCGCCCTCCCGGAAGGGCTCCCACCGCCCCCCGCGGCCTCAGCGCCTACGGCCCCTGGACTAGGCCGCGCGCTCAGCCCGCGGGCCGGCGGAAGCGTCGGTCCCCGAGGGCCACCCGGAGGTGCCCTGGCGACCCCCGCCCGCCGCGGGCGAACCCCAGCTCCCGGCCCCCGAGGACGCCGCAGCCGCTCGGCCGCCCCTCCGGCTCCTACCAAGATCAGCGCCTCCATCTTGCCCCGCAGCTGGTGCCGACGTGGAGCCGCAAAAGCAACGCCGCCGCTGATTGGCCCTGCTTCCCCGCTAGGCCCCGCCCAGGGCGAGGACTATTGGATTGTGACCTCCCGGCTCTCGGCCCGCTGGCCAATCAGAGCGCTGGCTTGCTGAGCGGAAGCGGACTGTCCAACCAGAAGGCGCGGGCGTCTGACTGCCAGTCTAAACACTCAGTAGAACGGCACGACGTCACGGCCGGAGGGGGCGGGAGGGTCAGGGGGCGGGGTTGTTTCCATGGGGAGCGGAGGAAGCGACTGTGAATTTTCAATTGGCAGAGCGGGGAGCACGTGGTGTCGGCGGCCTGATTTCGCCGCTTGGATCGCGCTGCCTTTAGGGGGCGCTGCGTCTCCTTGGCGCTCGGCGCGCGCGGCTCCTGACCCACCGCGGCCCCGAGCATCGCTGCGAGAGCCCCCTGGGGGCCCGGGAAGGACGGGAAGCCACGGGGCTTCCAAAAGCAGATTTTCAGGGGTCGCCCGTGGGGGGTGGGGGGCTCAGCGGGTGAGCACCTGCCCTCGGCCCAGGGCGTGACCCCGGGTCACGAGATCGAGTCCCGCATCAGGTCCCTGCGTGGAGCCTGCTTCTCCCTCCGCCTGTGTCTGCCTCTCTCTGGGTCTCTCATGAATAAAGAAATAAAATCTTTTTTTAAAAAAAGATAATAATAAAAGCAGATTTTCTTTGACCAGACGTGAAACGGAAGGAATGTTGTTAGGGCTTGGAGGCTAGAGAGAGGAGGAGACTAAGGAGCAAGAGGGTCCAGGACAAGGGAGGGTGTAGGGAACAGGGTCTGCGGTTTTCCAGTAGGGACGAGCTGTTGCAAAACGAGAAAAAGAGAAGTTTACAGAATGCAGGGATTTCACAATATGGAAGGTCTTTTTTTTTTTCTTTATTATTTTTTTTTTTTATGAAGTTTAGCTTTCCCCTAATCTCCCCACCCTCCCCAGGTTTGTTGGTCCCAAAACTCCTCTTAGGTCAGGGACACCCCTTTGCCATGTATTGTCTCTAAAGAGGTTTTTTTTTTTTTTTCTCCCCCATTTCTGACAATTGCATCTTCAGGAACTCTCCAAAAAGAGCATCCAAACCTACCCAGGAGGTTTTTTTTTTTTTTTTTTTTTTTTTTTTTTTTTTTTGATTTCATAGTAGAGTCAGAGGGCCTTAGAGAGGAGTATAGAACAATACAAACCAAATCAAAGAGTTAACTGGTATGAAGGATGGTATGTGGTTTTCTGGTAAAGTCCCAGGTGACAAGCCTTGTATCTGGAGGAAGTAAGGGCTCAGCCTTTACTTGTTCTGAATGGGAAGTTATTCAGATATTTAGCATTGTGTCAAGGTTGTCCTTGGCTTGGCAGCTTAATGATAAAGCTAACATTTAATGACAATCTGCTCTGTGCCAGGCACATGCTAAATCTTTGAATGGGTTGTTTAATATTTTTATTTATTTTTTAAATACTAAAAAAAGTTAATAGTCTATTATAATTTATTTTTTTTTTAGGATTTTATTTATTTATGAGAGAGACACAGAGAGAGAGGCAGAGACACAGGCAGAGGGAGAAGCAGGCTCCATGCAGGGAGCCCCATGGGGGACTCCATCCTGGAACCCCAGGATCACACCCTGGGCCAAAGGCAGGCGCCAAACCGCTGAACCACCCAGGGATCTCCTCATGATTTATTTTATTTAAGGATCTAGGAAGGTCACAGTCATCAGCAGCTCCAGTGCAGTTTCAGGTGCAATTGGGAATTCAGGAATCACTGTGGAGCTGTTAGTGTAGCAAAACTTGTAGGTAAAATACGTGCATGCTTTTGATAGCACACATGAAGGGATCTCTGTATTTTTTATTTATTTATTTTTTACTTATTTATTTTTATTTTTTTAAAGGGATCTGTCTACAACTGACTCCATGACTTTTTTTCTTCCCTTCTCTTCTCTTTTTAAAATAGGCTTCAGGCCCAGAGTAGAGCCCAACACAGGGCTTGAACTCACAACCCTGAGATGAGGACCTGAGCTGAGATCAAGAGTCAGAGGTTTAGGGCAACCCTGGTGGCTCAGCGGTTTAGCGTCGCCTTCAGCCCAGGGCATGAACCTGGAGACCTGGGATCAAGTCCCACGTCGGGCTCCCTGCATGGAGCCTGCTTCTGTCTCTGCCTCTCTCTCTCTCTCTGTGCCTCTCATGAATAAATAAATAAAATCTTAAAAAAAAAAAAAGAGTCAGAGGTTTAATCAACTGAACCACCCAGGTGCCCTCATTAGTTGTTTTTTTTTTAAGATTTTATTTATTTATTCATGAGAGACACACATAGACACAGAGAGGCAGAGACCCAGGCAGAGGGAGAAGCAGGTTCCATGCAGGGAGCCCGACATTGGACTCGATCCAGGACCTCCAGGATCACGCCCTGAGCCAAAGTCAGGCACTAAACCACTGAGCCATCCAGGGATTCCCGCCCCTCATTAGTTTTGTTCTCTGCAAGCTGACCTGGGCCTCTCAACATGGCTTTTCTTGTTCCCAACGTTAGTGCATGTTCTCTTTTTACAATAAATTCATGACCATCAGAAGATACCAATTTGATATACATGGCGGCAGGGCCTTCACAGCCACCATAGGTTTTCTCCAACCATTATGTTCTTATTAAATTTGGATTTACTTCCACAGGAATGTTAGTAGTTTCTTACCAGCCCTACAGCCACCGCAGCCACCTACAGCTACCTCGCCAGGTCCCCATGCCCAGCCACAGCCCCTACTCCAGGGCCGCCCCCTCACCCCCAGCTGCCTGCCACCCCAGGGCCCGTTATTGAACATTTTTGGAAGACATTTATGAAGTAGATGGGTATTACTCCCACTTTATAGATGAGGAAAGTAGAGCTCACTGCAGTTAAATGATTTACTTAAGGCTATACAACAATTGGCAGCCATACATTCAAGCATAGGAGGTCTGGTTCTTCCCCAAAATCCACTCTTCTAACTTGTGGTACAGCCTCTTGTGGGTTCCATTCCTACCTGAAGTACTCCACACCAGAGCCAGATGTTCCATGCGGACCATGAAGAGGAAAAATGTGTGTGGGGGGGGCAGGGGGGTGTTCTCTTTCTCTGATAGAATAACTAACAAATTTTAGCAGTCAGGTATTGTTGCAGAAAATGCCTCAATCGGGATCCCTGGGTGGCGCAGCGGTTTGGCGCCTGCCTTTGGCCCAGGGCGCGATCCTGGAGACGCGGGATCGAATCCCACATCGGGCTCCCGGTGCATGGAGCCTGCTTCTCCCTCTGCCTGTGTCTCTGCCTCTCTCTCTCTCTCTCTCTCTCTGTGACTATCATAAATAAATAAAAATTAAAAAAAAAAAAAAGAAAAAAGAAAATGCCTCAATCTTAGCTCTCTGGCCTGTAGGTGACTGTGCTGTAGGGGGAAGAAAACTGGCTGTAGCGAAACATTATTTCCTATTGTGACTTGGATTTAATAAGCAGGAGCCTCTGGAGCACCTGGCTGGCTCAGTTTAGAGCCTCTCGCTCTTGATCTCAGGGTCATAAGTTTGAGCCCCATATTTGGGATAGACATTTCCTAAAAATAATTTATTTTTTAATCAGACTAGCCCTATCTAAAGTTAAAGTCTTTTTTTTTATTTATGTCACACAGAGAGAGAGAGAGGGGGGCAGAGACACAGGCAGGCTCCATGCACCGGGAGCCCGACGTGGGATTCGATCCCGGGTCTCCAGGATCAGGCCCTGGGTGAAGGCGGCACTAAGCGGCTGAGCCACCAGGGCTGCCTGAGCCTCTGCCTTTGGCTCAGGGCGTGACCCCGGGGTCCTGGGATGGAGTCCCACATGGGGCTCCCTATGTGGAGCCTGCTTCTCCCTCTGCCTACATCTCTGCCTCTCTCTGTGTGTCTCTCATGAATAAATAAAGAATTGATCAAATGGAGACACCGGGTGGCTCAGTCGGTTGAGGGTCTGACTCTTGATTTTGGCTCAGGTCATGATCTGAGGGTCCTGAGGTTGAGCCCCCGCATGGGGGTCCCCGCTCATCAAGGAGTCTGCTCCAGATTGTTTCCCTCTGCCCCTCTCTCTCAAATACATAAATATTTTTAGAAATCCTAAAAGAATCAATCAAAAGGGAAATGCATACATGGCTCACTCCTCCCCATATATATACACACGGATAATATAAAACCATGCATATATGATTACAATTTATTTAAAATGTATGGGAGGGGCACCTGGCTGGCTCAGTCAGTGGAGTCTGTGACTCTTGATCTTGGGGTTGTAAGTTCGAGCCCCACATTGGATGTAGAGATTTCTTAAAAATAAAATCTTAAGGGGCAGCCCCGGTGGCGCAGCGGTTTAGTGCCGCCTGCAGCCCAGGGTGTGATCCTGGAGACCCAGGATCAAGTCCCACGTCAGGCTCTCTGCATGGGGCCTGCTTCTCCCTCTGCCTGTGTGTGTCCCTGCCTCTCTCTCTGTGTGTGTCTCTATGAATAAATAAATAAAATCTTTAAAAATAAAATAAAATAAAATCTTAAAAATACATATATATGGGGAAAAAATGGAGAAAAAGGCTGGAAAGACTATACCAAAATGTAACCAGTGTTTTGTTTTGTTAAGTGCTAGGACTTTTCTCAGTGTTTCCATATTTTCTGGGTGTTCCAAAATGTGCGAGTGCTATTTTAAAAGGAAAAAAATAAGCTATTTTTTAAAGGACAAAAGCCACTTATTCTCATGAAGCCTTCTCTGATGTCCACAGGTGGAGTTGAATGCTTTCCCCTTCGTTACCATCGTTGACTGTACTTAGAGCCATGTTGTACCCCATAGACCTAACTCCCTAGACTTGCCATCTATGTCCCATTCATTTTGTTTCTTCAGCCCCTAGCCCTCAAGTGGGAACACTCAAACAGTAGGTACGGAATGGAATGAACATTTGTGAAAATGCAAGATACAAAGAGGAATGAACAGTGTCAAAGGGAAGCTTAGGATGAAAAGACTAATAAGGAGCACAGATACTGAAAAGCGAGTGATCCCTCAAGATTGGGGCATGGGGTCGTCCAGGTCTGGGAGA